CCGGCCTTCCCCTCCCGGCGCGCCCCTCCCCCCCCAGCCTGGCTCTGGCGGCCGAGGAGATCCCTTCCCCCACCGCTGCTCGGGGCTCTGGCGCGCCCTGCGCTCCCCGGCAGGGACGACCCCCCGCCCGCCCAATCCAGGCCACGAGGGGCGGTGGGCGTGGGCGCCTCCGGAGCAGAGAGCGTCGAGCCCGGTCAGAAGCCAGGCGGGGGCGGGGTAGCCGCGAGCCACGTTGGGCTTGCTAAGGAATCCAAAGGTCGCCGAGCGCTGCCGGCAGCGGTCACCTTGACACACCTGCCCGGAGGAACCCAAGGCCAGCCACACCTGGGAGCAGCGGAGGACGCGCCTCTTGGCGGCAGCCAGCCCCGCCCCTCCGCTCCAAGGAGTTCTTCGCCGGCCAGGAATTGCACCGGCTCTCCTCCACCTCATTCCTTTGGGTCCATTGCTCTAATCGAGTGTGCTCTATGACGGCGGTTGAATGTTTCACGTGTCTTTCATAGCGCCAACTATCCCACTCAGTTTTTCATTTTCTCCTTTCTGTCTCTCCATCTCTTAAGAAAAACGTTGAATACTTTGGGAAGACTGAAATTGGAAGGAAACCTTGTGCATCACCGGTGCTGGGAAGGGGTGGGCAGGGCAAACAAATGCAGTTGAAAATAGGGTGACCAATGTCCAGTGGAAATGCAAGCGCAGGTGAGGGATAAGAACGATGGAGAGAAAGGAGTCCTTAGGGCTCTCTGAGCTTGGTTGTTTTCTTGTCAATGTTTCATGAGCCAAATTAGGCACCATTATCAGCACCGCAAGAAAATAACCAAGCTCAGAGAGCCGCAATGACCCACCTCTCATTTCAACTCGGTGCTACAAATGTTCTTTGTTGATGATTGAGAGTTTCTGATAGGGAAGAGAAGGGGAACCTATCAGTGTCCTGGGGAGGAGGGGCTGTCACATTGCTCTCAATCTTGTCCCTCCCCTCACTGGCTAAAGGGAGCTTATTTACACCCCAGTTTTTTTAGCATCTCCTTTGGGGGGAGATGGACCGCAGACCATCAACAAGTCTCTGGGAGCTCCGAGGAAGGCACCAACCGGCTGTGCAGCCGAACACTCTCCGTTTCTCTTGCTAGCAAACTGATGGAGAAGAAATCCGACATGCCAAATATGCAGGAGGGGGCTACATTACCCTGATTGACGTCAGAATCTTATTTTCCCATGTGGAGGGGGACAGTCGACCAGACAAGAGCCCAGAATAGACTGTAAGCCTGAGGCTCGTCAACTGGAACATACCTGCCTGAACCCCAAGGCAGCTACCCCAAGATTCCCCCATCCAGCGCCCTTCAGCCGCTGGGGAGTTCAGTGGGGCCTCTGCCCTTGGAGTCCCTAATACAGCAGGAGGAGGAGGGGTCTGCAGAGAACAGTACCCAGTGGGGCGCTGCGTCTAGCCAGAACTGCAGCGGATCTGCTCAGCATTTCTTAGCGCAGCCTCTTGCTTATCCTCTTGCCTGGGGAGGTCAGTTTAGGGTCGGGGGAGGACCTTGGGTGAGAATCATATTGCACAAAGAAGCTTCATTCATCCCCATGAAATATCTTGGGGAACAAACCAGATCAGATCAGCGTCAAAGAACTATCCAGAGGCTCGTTTGTTTGCTTGTCTCTTCGCTTCTTTTATTCTCCTCTGCATGTCCCGGTGCGGGTGAAGAGGTGCCCAGCCGGGAGCGGGGATGAAGGCAGCAGGTACCAGCCAGCCTCGCCCAAGGGGACGAGGAGAGCCTTCTCCAGGGCAACCAGATTCCCACACCGCCGCCGCGCTGGAGGAGGAAGAGCAGGAGGAGGAGCGGGGCTGCGGAGATCGGGGGGCCGGCAGTGGGTGGCAGCAATGCCGCCCCCGCGGGGCCGGTGCCCTGCCCTGCGCTGTCCAAGCCGGGGTCGGTGCTGAAGCGCGCTCTGGGCGTCGCAGCCGCGGGTGGTGCTTCAGGCGAGGCCCCCGGGCTGGGATGGGATGGGCCGGGACGGCGCTAGGGCGGCGTAATCTCCGTGCTCCCCTCCCCGCGAGCCTTGCATTGGTGGCGCGTCTCCTCCCGCCTGGCTGTGAGAAGTCCTCGCCCGCCTGCGGCTCGCCTTCCTGCTTCGCGTCTTCGCTTTTCAGACTCCCCGCGGTTGCACCATGTCCAGCACCTTCGCCCGCGCTCTCTCCGCCCGGAGATCCGCCGCCCTCCTGGCCGCGGTGGGCGCCGCCGGCTCTCTGGGCGCCGGCTTCCTCTTCTCCCGCGACTCCGTCGGCCTCTCGGAGAGGACCAAGCGGCGCCTCTACCCACCAAGGTATGTTTCTCGGGGCGACTGGGGATGCCCTTGAGGCGCCGATTCCTGGGAGGGCTGGAGCGCAAGGTCTGGGACGACGTGGCGGACCCCTCGAGAAACAAGGTCCCCTTCTCGGACCCTCCGTGAACTGCGCGCCGCTCCCTTTTCTCCTGCCCCGCAAAAATGAGGCCATTGGGTTTGGCCTTCGGGCCAAGAGAAAAAGGGACTTTGCTTTGCCACTGAGCGACCCCCAGAAAGGGGGGTTCAGGGCCGCCAACGGACTCCTGCCTTCTCAGACGCCAGGGGTTGCTTCCTCTCCCTAGCTAAAGAGAAACGCAGTCGGCTTATGGTCTGGAGCCTTCTCCGCCGTCAGCTCCTTCTGGGCCTTCTGGCTGCCTGGCGGGCTCTGGATCTCCCCCGTGACCGTCGCACAAAACACCACTAATCTAGGGGTGATTATCCTCCCAAGAAGGGTCCTGAAAGCATCCACCAGCTCTGGGCAAAGCAGAGCCCCCCAGAATCCCTTTCGGAACAGGCAGGTGCCAGGCTGTCCTGGTTCCAAGCACGGGTCCGCAGGTGCAAAGTGAGCCTAGGTTTCTGGTGCAGCTCCCTCCTCCTTATCTGCAAAGAAGGAATGGAGCCCAAACCCCGCCCACCTTTTGGGCTGCGGCTGGAGAGACCAGCCAGCTGCAGGCTGTTCTGTCCTGAGAAAGAGCCTTACAGACCCCAGACTGGTGTTCCTGTTGGAGGGAGGTCACAGGCAGCGTCTCCCCAGCCCCTACCCCTTCCTCAAGACACCTTGGAAGAGTTCAAGGGCCCTCTAAATTGGCAATAAGGTCAAGAGAGAGCGGCTTCCTAAGCAGATTAAGGAAGGGAACTTAATGTAAGCATTACTCTGCTGCTGGATTGTGAATTGGGGTCATCACAGTTGCTTAAGTACTCCAGGTTGAAGTGAGATGTCCACCTGCCTAAGCCTCAGAGGAAAGGGTGAATCAGCAGAGTAGAGAGGATTCTCCAGCTTCTGGGTGGCAAGAGCCGAGACACCTTGCACCAGGAAGTGAGAGGAGAGGAAAACAGGCCACCTCCTAGGCGGCCCTTCCCAGGACTATAAACCAAGGCAAAGTCCTGGCAGAACTGAAATCCATATAACCTGAGATTGAACCACATTTAAGCACAGACTGCTTAGACTAGCCACCTTCTCCCATTTGCCACTCTGGGAAGCATACAAGCTGCAAAATAACAAACTCCCCACTCTGACCCCATGAGATAATGTAGTCAATTTGCTGACTCTATTTCTTATTTTTGTTTCTGGGGGTATCTTTTTAATGTTTGTTTGTGAGTCATTGGGAGTCAAACAGCATACAAATATTTTACATAGAATTGTCCCACTTTTATCTTAACTAGGCACCCTCTGCCTGCTAGTTGGCACTTAACAAAGTAGCTGATCTTCACTAACCTGCAAACTTCCTTTGCTACTGGCCCAAACCAAAGGTTCTCAACCTGGGGTTTATAGACCCCAAGACGTGTGTTGTCATCACAGGGAGCCCACGAAGGCTCGAAGAAATGTTATGATTTAAATTTTGAGTGAAGTCTTGGGGGATTCGTGTCCACAAAAGATATTTAAGGATCCATGTGGTGAAGAAAAGGTTGAGAACAAATGGCCTAAACTAAGCAATTCCCAGGGAAGAGAGCTTGAAGAGCTTGTCTAACAAAAGGAAGCACTTACAAGCAAGAGCCGAGGTGGCGCAGTGGTTAAATGCAGCACTGCAGGCTACTTCAGCTGCAGTTCAGCTGTTCAAATCTCACCGGCTCAGGGTTCACTCAGCCTTCC